ATTTTTCCAATTAACCGCCTCACCCCGGGGGTTTGAATTTTTAAACCGCCGAAACATGTAGAGTCGTCAACTTTTTGAAGTCCATAAATAGGCCTAAATAAAATGTTTTTAATTGTGTACCAGTTTAACGTTGAATATTATTATTTATGATTTTAACTTTATACACAAGTGCCAAAATACTATAATTAGTACGTAAGTCTTCGAATTTCTTGTACTTATCATGTATAGAAGTAGAATAGATTAGTAAAAGTACTAGACTCCTATCGGGGTTTGAGGTTTTTCAACAGTAACAATACTATGCTCTAACAGATGCCACTTTAGAGCAAGTACAATGTATCACACAACAACTAAATAGTGTCGTAAATAAACTTTGAAACAAATGATATATATGCCTCGCCTTTTGGAATTTGTTCAAAGAATGAAGAGGAGAACCATACCAACAAGCTCTACTGGTTCTGAAGTCCAAAGCAAACCACTTATTAAGTTAACCAACCAAAGTTAAGCAATGCAATTCTGTTAAAATTGGAATAAAAACCTATAGCAGCAAGTTACAGTTAAGATAATATAAATTATTTATAACATGTTAAAGAGGTAGGTTTAGAAGCTATTCTTTCAAAAAATAAAAGTAATAATTAGAAGAAAAACATAAATCTTGATTAAATGCTTCTCACATGTCTGGATGGCAGTGTCAGAACAGTACAAACTTTACTTGCTCTTTGCAGCCGAACCCACTTTGCCTGGAGAGTGAGGAGGGTTTGTATGTAATGACTGATCAAATTTCCAAGCCTTTGGCTGAATGTTTGGAAGCAGTGAAATATGAAAAAAAGCAAATTTTATTCTTTGATTTATTTCCTGTATTTTTTAGTTCTAATTTAGGGAGATTATCTTCTCATTGTACAAAACTGTGATAAGACCTCGCATAGTCTTGTGTCCAGTTTTTTGGTTCCTTTATTAAGGAAAATATACTGATTTGTTTGAAAAAATTCAAAGAGAGTCTATCAAAATGATTTCTGGTTTGAAAATTTTAAGTTTTGAAGAGAACCTTGATTTTCTGGGGTGTGAAAGAACTAAAGGTCATCTGATGGGAGGATTTTTGAGTGGTGGAAGGATAAAGCTGGAGATAAAATCCTAAATGTCAGAGAGGATACCAAGTTATTGAAAATGATTCAGAGGAGGGCTACTACATGATACTAGGTATGATAGGGTTAATATTATCGAGATAGGTTAAGACTTATTTAGTTATCTTGAAAAAAGAAGTACAAGAGATGATTGTGTTGAAGTATTTGGAAATATCTGGAGGGACTGTTAGGATAAAGGCCTCAGATTTCTTTGTGCTAATTTTGAATATGAGAGGACACAAGTTTTGGAAAATAAAAGGCTAGGTTTCAGATTAAAAGCTTTATTTTCCTAATAGGGTGATTTGCTTATGGAGTAAGTTGTTTTTGCAAATAGTTGAGGCTAACACCTTACCAAAGTTTATGAGGGAAATTGATTTTGTGAATAAAGAATGGGTTTAATTTTTAGTATCTGCTTTGTCCAGGGGGGGGGGGGGTATGCAAGGGTATGCCTTGAAGGACCAAATAGTTCTTTGTTCCATATGTTATCCAAGTCTAGGTCTAAGCTGGTTATTGCTTATTAAACTTTTTTTTTCCTTTTTACAGTATTAAGAGTTTTTAAATCTTTTACAATTGTTTTTAGATCATTAATGTGGTGTGTACTGAAGTTCGAATTTTTTAAAATTTTTAGTAGGATAATTTCTTTGGTAAATTACTTTTTGAGCCAATCAAAATTAAGATCATTCATGAAATGAATTCTTGGCATATTCATAGAATGGTTATTGGTAAAAATCAGTTAGATTAACAATTTCTAATATATAGAAAAGCCAGTGTGTTTTGGTAACACTACATTCCAACAATGACTTTTATGTCATGTTGCTTAGCAACAAAAGAATAACTTAATATTGTTGTTAGTCTATGTCCTGAAAGTATAGATGAAAAAACTGGAAAAATATTTGTTGATTTCTTAATTTAGAATCTCTGTTGATTAAAGAGGTTTGTTTTTTTATTAAAAATGTTGGTGATATAACAGAAAATAGCTTAATTAAGAAATGATTTAAGTTTAAAATTGAATTGATATTTTTACTTTCAGGATAAATTTTTATGCACTTGGCTCTAGGCTAGATGATCCTACACTACGTCTTTACTTTAGGCTTATAATACCCATACTCGCTACATTTATAAGGTTTCGTGGCCCCCTTGCACCCCCATCACTAAAATTGTAATGGGCAGACAGTAATCGAACTATTCTATCTGGATAAATGCATTTTGGTTTTTATGACTCCTCCTATTTGGAGAAATCAAGCATCATGTGATGCACACACTAGCTTTTATATAGGTTAGATGTAGTGTTAAGTGTTGCCCCAAAATTATTGGCTAATTAATTTTACTTCTGCAGTGGGAAGAGTTCTAGAGAATCTGGTGTCATATTTTTTTCAAAATCGAGTTAGGTGCTGTACATGTATCTGCTGAACATTCCACTTTATGTATATTACAGCTATATGGACATCAACATGGACATGATGAAATGGGTGCAGAGAGTAATGGAGTAAAAGAGAGGTTAGGGAACTTGTTAACTGGCTGGTTCTGACATTAAAAAGCTCATAACATTGAGAGCTGTTACATTGAGATGGATTTGATATGAGTGTAAGAAATACCGAGTGTGATTTTTACTCTACTCATAAATGAAAGTGTATATGTATGTATATATATACTTAACCTCTTTCACATTTTTCTTCAGGTTAGTTTTATTTATATAAAGGATAGGATAACAAGGGCTAGCTGGGATATTGTTTTTTTTTATTTTCTGTTTCAAACTTTGAGATGTTATAGGTTGGTATTGAGTTTTGTAAGTGAATATGCTACCTAGAAAAATATATAATTGATTCTATTACATGCATTTTCATTTTGAACTAAATATCTTGTGCAAAATCTAATGAAGTGCAAACCATGACAGTTATTAATCAGTTCAGAATAGACATCCTAGGGCGAATCTTTTTTTTGAATGAAATGTTAATGTGTTGTGTGGATTTCTTTATGAGATATTGTAAATCTTTTTCAGTTAGTAAATTCTCAGTATGGACGATTGTTATATTCCTGCATATAATCCTGTCTTGATTTTGGTTCTGAGTGGCAAAAGAAAAAGCGGTAAAGATTTTGTGGCTGAACTGTTAAAAGAAAGGTAAAGGAAATCTGATTAAAGATATGTAAAGCCTTTTTGCAATGTAGGTATGTGTGTGTTGGAAGTTAATATCTTTTCGTTATTTGTAGCATGTGTTTAGTTGACTTGTGTATCAGGTATTTGTATATAGACCTACTGTTTCTTTTATAGCACATTAGTTTGTATATATAAAGCTGATGTGTATTAGTAAACTAATTCTGTAACAATGAATGTATTAAGGATAGTTTAAAATATTTAATGTGATTAGAAATTAGGAGAATTGCAATTGTATCAAATAAATAATATTTCATAATGTCCAGAATTAAGTCATATTTAATTTTTTCACAAAAGTTTTACATACAGAACAATGTATGAAGTATATGTAACAACTTGTGTATATAGTACCCATAAGCTGTTATAGCCTGTTATGTCTCTATTTCAAATGCAGTTGTGTAATCAATGTCTTTTTTTATTTGCCAAGAATGGGTATACAAAAATCTGTCATAATTCGACTGTCAGGTCCTTTAAAGGAACAGTATGCAAAGGTTGGTAATCCTCTTGATATGTATTTCATCATATGCATTTTTTTATTAATCAAATATATACAGTTGTTTAAAGAAAGATGGATACAATTAAAGATGCTTAGTATCTGAAAATACAGAAATAGTTAAAATAGCTTAAAGAAAAAGAAATGGTCAAAATGTTAGCAAAATTACTAGTTGAAATGTTGACTGTTCTTTCTTACAGCTGTGTTAATTAGATGATCGTAAAAAAATATTTCAAGTTTACTTTCTGTAACTTGTTTTATTTAAAAGAATTATGAAGCCTTGAATTTGGATCATTGAGATGGTACTAATCAGTTTACTACAGTCATAATGAGCCAAGATTGATCCTCAGTAAGCCTAACTTATAAATCACCAAATCTTACAAGGATTCAAACTTGGCTCACCCTGATAGTGTTGTAGTATTCTCAGGATAAACTGATTTCAACGTGAGTATGAGATTGATTCGCTTTAAAATGGAAGATTGTTTCATGCAGATAATTATATAGTAAATCTGATTTTAACAAATTGACTAATTTTTCATCTAATAAAATAAACAGACTGGATACATGATGTAAAGTGTAAAGCAGTCTTTATTAAAAATGTAAAGCAAAAAACTGTGTGTAGTTGCATAGACACTAGACAGTCACTTTCCTAGTGGATCAGTGAATTAATTAACAGTTATTATTCCTTTAAAATACTTTGTTGATGGACTCATGTTTCAACCCAAATAAATCTCTCTATTCTGAATAAAACCAACATTCCATCCAAAACAGGAAGCCTTGGTTTTTTACCCCTAAGTGAAAAGTGTAACCATGTAACTGGTCGTTCTTTTACAACATACAAAGGTTGTAACCTCTAGATATCATCTACTCAATCAGTGTAGGACATTGCTTTCAATAACCTATCTTACACAATGTAAAAATTGCAGCAATATCCCCCAAGGGTAAACTAATTACTATCTGCTAGAAAACAACAAAGAAACAAATATAATTAGAACAAAACAACTCTATATTTTTCTAGATTACATGTTTTTGTCAAAACTGCATAGAATCAGACTAAATGAAAAAAATGTTTAAATTCCTTTATTAATAAAAGCTGGTAGAAAATGCATGACATGTCTGCATATCACAGTACTTAAGCAGTTTAGTATTGGTCTGCAGTCATGATGAAATGAGATTGATCCCCATTCAGCTTAACTTATAAATCATGAAACCTTACAAGGGGTCAAGTATGGCTTACTATGGAGGTAATGTCTTAAGCTATATTTTTAATATTTTAATTTAGGTGTTTGTTTGTTAGAGGGAGCTAATCATGATGATGATGATGTAATGATTTAGAAAGTAGAAAACAAGAATGATATAAATGCCAGAGTGAGTAATTGGGTATTTTAGTGTGATATTCAGTTCAGTATTATTTAGAGTTAAATAATGAGTTATTGTATCTATTAATCTATGATTCAGTTAGTGAGTGATTTAGTTAATGTGTTTGTTATGTAGACTTTCCAAATATCATCTAAGTTGCTGGAATTCTTTTTGACTTTTTCTTTGTCCAAGTAGTTCCATACAACTTCATTGATATTGAGATTTGGGCTGTGATGGAGCCTTTCCATGCAATGAAAGATTCCAGTTTCCTCTTTCTTTCACAAATATGTTTTAATTATTCCAGCTGAGTGTTTTATATCATTATCTTCCTGTAAGATGAAGTTTGGTGACCAATAAGCCTTGTACCACTTGGGATAGCATGGTAGATTAAAATTTGTTTGTACCTTGCTGCAGTCAACATACCATCAATTTCCCAACACTACTTGAGGATGTGCACCACCAAACTTGAGTTGAACCTCCTCCGTGCTTAACTGTTTGCTTCAAGCAAGACTGTTTATAAGTTTCAGTGTTTCGTAATCTCACATACTGTCTTCAATTAGATCCAAATAACTGAAACTTTGACTCGTCTGTCCAAAGAACCTTTGACCATAGTCCAATTTTTGTGTTCTTGTGCATATTTTAATCTTGTTCCCCTTTCTTATTGCAACACATCCTTTAAGTCCTGATTTGAAAAAGTGACCTTTGTACTGTTGATGGATGGACAACGATGACACCTGAGCCTTCTGACAATTCAGCGCTTGTCCTTTTTCTATTCCATAAGGATATTATCTTCAAGTATTGTGTATCCTTGTTAGACAGCTTTTAGGGTCTTCCAGTTTGTGGTTTTCAATTACAGATGATGTTTCTTTGTTCTTGTTGATTATGCTTTGGATATCACACCATGAAAATTTAGTGAGGCAAGCTGTTTCACTTAATGTCTTTCCTCCTTTATGCAGAAACACAATTCTTTGGTAATCTTCTACTGAAATTTTAGCCATTCTGTTGTAAGCTAACAGTTAAACCATGATAGATCTGTATTTTGCAGTAACAAATGTGTCCTTTTAGCTTTATGGATGTGTAGAGAGGAATAAATGAGATCAGTGACTTGGAACACCTGACAAAGTCATCAGATTTGATTAGTAAAAGTAATGGATTAGCTACTACAACACTTATATTGGCTGCTCATGTATAGTTTGCTTTGAGTTGTGGTCACAAGTTCTGAAGATTCTGATCAATGTGAATTAAAGATTACTAAATGACAAGCTTGGTTTCTTCTCACCCAAATCAAGCTGTATTAATAACAGTCAAAGTTATTTTAATAGTAGAAAACACTAATGGATGACTTGAGTAAATTGTCTATGCTAATAACCAACATGTATTGTAACTCCTGAATGTGTCTTAAGATCTTTGTATAGTAGTGTGTGTATTTAGGAATAACCAAAATCTCCTAAGTTTGCTGATGCGAGGTATTATTGGATTATAGCCAAAAATATAGTTAATCGCGAGGTTACTGAACTGATGAAAAAACAATGCATTCTAATCTTTAAAAGTAAACACACAAGAAAAAGCATATTTCCTTAGTTACACTGATTGCCAAGTTGATATTTGGTTTGCTCTTAAGGACATAACCCATAACACTGCATGAGTTGAAGGTTACTTATTATTTATGCATAGATATTCAGTGAGAGCACAACAGAAATTTGACTAAAATGATCTCTCTATCCAGGAACACCAGCTTGATTACTCAAGGCTGCTTGATGCTACAGAATACAAAGAATTCTATAGAACTGACATGATTCTATGGGGTGAAGAAATTCGACGTAAAAATCCAGGTTACTTCTGTTACCATGCGTTACTTCAACAGAATGCTGATAAAAAACCTGTATGGATTGTAAGCGATGCTCGAAGAAAAACAGACATTACTTTCTTTAGGACCAACTATCCATGTGCAACCAAGACTGTTCGGGTGTCTGCTACCTTAGAAACAAGAAAATCACGTGGATGGGTATTCACACCAGGTTGTTATATATTATACAAAAGATAGTTTTCCCAATGTTTCACTGTCATGACTTCATCAGAAAAACAAGATTATCATATTTCAGCCCCTAAAATAAATTGTGTTGTTGAAACACAATAAATGTATTCTCCTGATGAAGCTGTAATGGTGAAACATTGGAAGAAGTTTCATTTACTGGAGTATTGTTGTATATAATTATATGAATATGTTGCAATTTTTCATTGTGAATTACAAACATTAAAATCTCAGCAATTCACTGTTCATATGTTATTAAATTTGGTGATAATACATTTCTGAATTTTTCTAGGTGTGGATGATGTGGAGTCAGAATGTGGTCTTGATGATGTCCAAGACTGGGACTTTGTAATAAAAAATGATGGAGATGATATTTTATTGAATGATGGTATTCAACCCATTTTGGATTTAGGAGTAAAGAGGATTTCTTTAGATAATGTCTAATGCTTATTTCACCCCCAAAACATCTTCAAATTTATTTATGTGCTCTGTATTCCAGTCATATTTTAATATAATAAGCATTAAATATACATTTTAAATTATGCAGTTATATATTTATATACACCCATAAAACAAGAGATGAAAACCTGACTAGGAAAATGTGAAGGAAAAGTTTTACAGTTTCTTGTCTAAAATTAAAAGATTAGTTTTCTAAATATTTCACCATTATGACTTCATCAGGAGAACACAATTACTATATTTTGGCTTCTGAAATAAATCATAGCTGAAACACAGTGATCTTTTTCTCCCGATGAAACATTGAAAGAGATAACAACATTAAATATTAACAAATCTCTCGTATTAGTGTGTTTCATTTTTGTGCTTTAAAATTTTGCTTTCTAAGTCCAAAATAATCCAGTGGTTACAGACTTGTAGCAGTTAAATTGAGCCACAAAGTTTTGAAAACTATTATCTGGACATTTGTGATGAATGAAAAATAAGGCATATGTAAAAAACAAAATTGCTTAAGCTAGTGTGATGAAGTTGAGGAGCACCTGGTAATATTTTTCTTATTTATTTCTTTACTCTCATGTATATTTACTAGTGGTGTTAGCTGTAGCTGAACTTAACTCACACTATGAAATTCATAACATTCTATTATTAAAGGTTATATGTACAAAATCTGTGTTCATCAGACCTAATTGTATTAATTCCATGTTCTTGCCTGTTTCAAGCTGATGTTATAAGTTTTCAACAGAAACCTTAAGAGGTGGGCTATAATTACTACTGAAATGTTGTAAAGATACTTAATTCCAGTACACCTATAACTGGAGATAACCATAGCACAATTAAAGTTTGTTTTTCCTACAAATATCAAACTTCACTTTGGGAACATACAAATGATTTACTAATAATCAGTTTGTTTTGTTCGAAAACTTCAGACCCAACAACGCTTAAGATACATTAATTTTTACGCTCTAAATAATAATCATTCTTGACAGGCTTTGCAGTATTATTATGTATATGTGTCAAGTATGTAAGTATATTTAATTTAACTGTGAAAAGGCATAGGAAGCATTGATATTATGTTATGGAGGATATATATATATAATATACTTAATTTTTTTCCTACACTTTGTCTTCTACTTTAAAAATCAATTGAAGAACAAGTGTCAAATATGTTTTAAAGAAAAATATTATGATCTATATAGATAATCAACTAATTTAATATCACACCATAATCATTGGTAATTATAATTTTTGACTCGCTGCAATGGGCACATGTGTGGTACACATTACATATAATTTGTATTAGACTTGAGAAGTGTGATTTTAATATGGGAGTTTTGAATATAGTACCATTACAAAGAAAGAGTATTCCCCTTCTCACTATCCAAAGTCTGTTTACCAGTTTCTGATAAATAATGAAATATTACAACCTTTTTTAGTGTGTATATCAAAGTACACCTGGCAATACTGTATTTTGATGCAAATAACCCATGGGCTATACGTTTTTTTGTTGTACTTTTTAAAGACTGAAATCACCAATTTTCTATTCCGAAGGTTCGTTTATGTTGTTCTTGTTCAACATGTGGAGTGATTCATCAATCAGCCGATAAATACAGTTGTTGGCAATCCCAGTTATTCTGTGGTCAAAGGAGAAAGTATAAATACAAATACTTTTAACCGTATTTATCAGTATTTGAATTGATTACAATTGAAAATTAATTAATTGCTCACGTATTCCAAGACGAGTAGATTTCACTTTCAGTGCGTCTCTTAGCATTACCACAACCTTTTAACCTGTGATTGGCTTCACCAATAATTGTTATAGTGATTTATAATAATCTGGACAAACTTGTAAAATGATATAAAGTTCAACAGCTAACATGGTGAATTTAGATGAATGGATGGCAACTGCCTGTTGTAGAAACACAAATATAGAGGACGATGTTTTGAAATGTCTTTTGCCTTTCATTTTCAGGTCAGTCTTTATAATATTCTAGTGGATTGTGAAGGACATGTTATGATTAGATGGTTTATCCCTGTTTCCTGTAGATTCAACCAATGGTAGCCACAGGTTGCTCACCTGTAATCCAGAATCTCAGTTCAGTAAATGTTTTATTTTCTTTAATTTTTCATGTCTTGCAAAATTGGTCTGTGTCACTGGCTTGCACTGTGTCACGTGCCTAAATGTTTCTCTTAGATCATTTTTTTCCTTAGGTGTGGGTTATTTGTGTGAAAATATCTATAAACATGGTTGTGAAAGAGTTCACGTATAAACATGCTAACCGAAGCAAAGTTATAATGCATAATTTTATCTTTTTTTTTTTAATACATATTTCAATTTTAAAGTGTGGACTTTGTGAATGTTTTACTTTTTTTTTGAAGAGTTTAAAATATGTATCTTTTAATAAAGGGTTTCAGAGAAGTACATGTATTTGAGTATGTATTTTAATTAATATAAAAGAAAAAAAAGGTTGAATTATGGTGAGATTCCAACAGTTTATATGGTTTATTATTGTATATGGAACATTTTCTTTGATTCTACTTAAAACTCTACTCACACAGGTGACTTCAGCAATATAAAATACTGGTATTTATATTCAACTCTATACAAAACTTTTACATTTCCGTATCCCTCTGGAAGACAACACATAGAACAAAAAATCTTAAGTGGGATTAGTGAATAATAAACATAAAAACTCACTACATTCAAAATCCCTAATGGATATTTATTTATGTTTTGAAACTTCTCTAAAACATTAATCATTTTAAACTAACAAGCTGCTTTGCAAAAACACAAGCATCTAAAAACATGCCTATATAATTTTTTTTTTAACTTCATGGTCAAGTGCTAAATTTACAGGAACATTCTCTTGGAATACATAAAAATATCAAAGTAAAAGTTTAATTATATGTGAATTTTTAAATCTCATGCAGTCATACAAATTAAGGGATGAATAATTATACAGAAATACATTTATAATGGAAAAAAAGTGCTATATTTCAACTTTTATTTTTTGGTGAAAATAACTGGTTTTTATCTGAAGTATTTAGATTACACAAAAATGTACTAAATTGAAAATAAAAAAGGTATCAAGAATTACCTGCTATGCAGCATTCTACTGTAACTTTTTGTTTTATTTTATTTAATTTACAGTACTTTGCTAATTATTTTTTTAAGACCAATACCTTCTCTCTTATTTATTAGAAGATACAAATAACTCTTGAAAAAACATTGAACAAATTACAATCAAACTGAACTTTTCAATTTTTTCATATCTTTAGTTTCTAAATCAATACGAAAAAACTTTATTCCATCATCTTATAAAACTGACAACATTTCAGTTATGTAACGTTACGCTTATTGATATTTTATGCATTTTTTAAATCAAAACAGGAAGTTTTGGTTTAAAGGTTTTGATTTGCAAAAAATGTATTAGGATAAAACATGAAATGTTAGGATTTTATTCTTATAAAATACATTTGCACAATAACCTTTTTAAATGGCATATTTAATTATAAGGTACATAGTCATACAGGAATTAATTAATGTTTATTTTCTTTTGTAAAACTATTTATCTATAAAATTTTAATATTCTTGTGTTATCATGTAGTAAACATAAAAATGTTAATTAGTAAAAACCAGAAAACCTGCTTTTAATCTCAAATTTGAATAGTAGGATTAAAAAAAAGGAAAATATTAAGTGAAAATAATAAACTTTCATTATTTCACAAAATCAAAAATAGTGTAAAAATAGAGCAGACTTATAGTTCAATTCAAAATGAACTTAAAATTTATATTTTAAGGTCTGTATACCTTGCCATACTAGTCCAATCTTGTATCAAGTACTTTCTTGGTCAGTGGAGTTATGAATTTAACACAAAGTCAATATCTACATATAGTTAAAACAGTTGGAAAGGGAGCATGTTTCCCTTTTCGTAACAACATTATCAAATAAGCAGCTGATGTTTTTAATACATGCTAATCATTTAACTGAAATATTATAATAATATATTGTCTAATAACTTACATAATGATAAGTCTCCAAACTAAAAGGAACATTTACATTTCAGCTATCACCAGGCTTCTATACAAAGAATGAAGAGAACTCCATGATTGTATATTATGTTAAGATACTTTTTGAAGGATGAAAAATCAAAGAGAACTGGCTACTTTAATTTCATACCTTCGAGTTGTGCTAACACGTACATATTATTTCAAACCAATACTGCAAAATGGCAACAATTACCTGCCAAAGGTCATTAATCCAGTGGCAAAACAAATTTTATCTACAAGTTTTCAAAATGAATTCTGTGATTTTAAATATGCCAAAAGATAAAATAATAAATTGGAAACTCTAGTTTCTATGATATTAAAATGTTTGAAATTACACTATTCATAATGTATGACAGGCTTTTTTTTTCACATTATGCAAACATTGAACTTATCAAATATGTAATACTTTACTATACTCCATAATTTAGCTACATACATTTAATGCGAGAGAAACCTTGGCATGTTGCTCAAAATGCCAAGATATATACGTACAAAACTTTGTTATTCAACTGTTTTACATTATTAATTGTTACTTGTATTATCAGGATGTTAAAATCATTACAAAATGTCTCTTAAATGAATCACAAATCTTAAGACATTTTGAAATTTCTGAGGCACAATGAAAACCCAAATTTATATATATTAAAAACAAAAAATTATTTTTTTTAAATATCTGCATAAGGGTATTCTTAAAGATGTACAACCATTTCTTGTTTTTTTATGCAGTTCTTGACTCTTAAAGGTTGTATATCCTTAATTTATCCAGTGATTTATTTTTGTAACCTATCACAAAACACAAAATTTTTCAAGTTCACACAGTACAAAATTAACTGCTAGCAATAGCACCTTAACCCACAAAACAATTGTTTATATTATTTTGACCTACAAAGCATTTTATTCCTAATAAACATCTTCAGATATTCTAATTAATATATAGAAAATCATTTAAAGAAAAATACATTTATTTACTAAAATCTGTCAGTCGAGGAAAATCATATGCAATGTAAAAGAAAAAAAAAGTTTCTTTAAACAGATAGATGGATTTAATATTATCACTTAAAAAAACTTTTAAGGGAACATTTAAACATTATGTCACACTTTCTTGTGTGTATACTTTTTTTTTCAGTTTGTGTATTTTTAACAGTTCTTTTCTCTGCATTTGAGATTCCCTCAAGAATCAGTTTAAATAAAGACTTTTTCAAACATGTAAAGGATTTTGATATTAAATACTGTACTGACTACATTCAATAATTAAAAGGGAGAGCATAAGTTCAATTTCCTAGAGATTCTATCCATTTTACAATGTTATTGACAACAAAGGATCTCTGCAAATCTAACATTTAGTAAAGATGAAAGGTTAAATGTAAAGTGCAATATCCCAGTTTTATTAACCCATAATGTCTTTGAATAAAAACTGTACTGCACTTTCTATCTGAATTATTATGTGACATAATACTTGAATATTCCCTAGCTATGCATTTATATGTAACATATACCACGACAAAAATGACTATGAAACTAAGAAGATATGAAAATGGAGTTGTGATCCTCTGTGAAAACCTTACGGAAAGAGATCTTTACAAAGGAACCTCTCTAATGATTGTACTTTACTTGGAATCCTTACGCTCCTTGCTTTCTCGTTTATTTCCCTGATAAAAGCACAACCTCAGATTCTTAAAATATTTAAGAACAGTTCACAACAATTTGACAGTAAAAAAAAAATGGAATAACTTAACTTTATTATAGAAAACAATTGTAATTGTTCTATTGAAATAACTGATTTTTTGATAGATTATTATACTTATTCAATCATAAACAGACAATGTGCCAAACATTATATGCAAGTTACAAGAAAATATACACTGAAAGTTAAAACAATGTGACTGGTTCAGCTAATATTATTAATCTAAGTTCTGACAGTCTTCAAAAAAAGTATTATATATTAATTTCATAAAGTCTACAATGATATATTTCCAAATCATGTTACATCACTGTATGCCCAAGTCAAAGAAAGGTTAATTCTCATTTAATCTATATAATAGTGAAAGAATAGTAGCAGTTACAGAAAGAAAACATTTTATTACTTCATCATAGCCTTAAAATTATAATACATGTGTGTTTATATGTATATATATATATATATATATATGTATATATATATACCTTTAGAAACAACTATAAAAAAATTCTTACTGATGAAAATATGTACAGAAGATATCAAATATTGGGAATTTAAAAACTTGCAAATTGGGATAGTAAACGAAGCTGGAGATACTGTAGACTATTTACTCAAGCTACAAATCACTATTCTGACTCCATGCTGTTAGCTAGAATTACATTTGGTGGAGTCAAAATAGCGATTTGTAGCTTGAATAAACAATGTCTACGGTATCTCCAGTCTTGTATGCTAACCTTTTTTACTGTCCCTATTTGCAGGTTTTTAAATTCACAATTTTTTTTATCTTGTGTCTCAAACCTTAAGCTTGTTTGTTTACTTTTTTGTGACTGCATTTTCACTTTAAGCTAGCTATCTTGTTTCTGTATTTTTTTATATCCATCATGGACATAAATGTGTATAATAGCACTACTGTCCTATTTGAAACAGTTTAATGAAATACTGGCTTCATGCAGATTGGATGGCTATTGCTCTTGATATAATTGTCACAATGTTATATTTGATTGTGGTACTGTATGTATGATCACTATTATGCATGGTGATCAACATACCGCATGTTATGTATATGCTTGTAAAATATATATAGCTAGTATATTTATATCCTGTAGCTATATGGGGAATCTGTAAACACTAGATTGAAAAGACTAATGAACTATATTGGAATGGTGCATGGGCTGAATTTTGTAACCGCATGAGTTTTATACATAAATGCAATGCATATTGGCTAGTATTTATATCTATATACAAGTTGTAATAAATAGCCATATGAATTATTCAAGTTATTTACATGCATGCATATATATTCAGTGCAAATATAAGAAAATGTGTGATAATATAATAGCATATGTATAGAAATAAGCACTTTTAATATTTTTTTATAGTTGCTATATTTCCTCCTCTCAGCTGGCCATAGTAAGGCTGGTCATGATTTTGGTGCAGTTTGCCAGATTTACTCTTAAGAGTGACATTCTAGAAGGTCGAAAATGCATTAATTAACAATTACGAGTTGATTTTATTAATCCCCCCCCCCTCCATTTCTGATGGAGTTTGAGTTGTGACACTTCTACGACCCTCTTCCACTGTGATGACCCTAGACTCTGGTGGGCTGTCGCTGGTGCATACTATATCTGAAACTAATTATTTTCTAAATAAAATGTATAGGTATAAAACTTCTGCCTCACTTTTACTCGAAATCTCCATCTCCTGCCCGCACGATTTTTGCCACTCCTTATAGTTAGTTTCATTGATGGCTACTCTATCTGCAGTATCTATAAAATTTGCAATCAGGAAGTGTGGGCTATAATTTGACACTTAGGATCAGCAATCACAATGATTGCCAATCCGATCCTTCAAACTGAGCTTGATGCTATTTTTTAAACTGTGGCTTAAAGATATCTGTTGGGAGACTAGCTGATATGATTCTTGATGATTTACTGTAACTATTGACTATACGATCGCATTAGTTCAAGGGGTAAAAATTTAAGCTGCAGCTGGAAATTGTCATGGAAATTTGTTTGAGAATATATTAAGCATTTATAGTTCCTGTGTAAATAAATTCTGTATATATAATACATAGCAATGGGCATATATATGCCTAGACTAAGACACAACCCCCACTAAGTGCATATAACATTTTACCAGTAGAAAAGCAGCCTTTTCAAATAAAACATCGCTTTAACTAAGCCTTCATGTCTTTATAGAAGTAATTATTCTATGAAAGTGTGTAATAAAATTTAATGTGTATTTTTTTTTTTTTATCACTCCTTCACTTCATACATAATATATGGGTTGGCTCCATAAAGACACCAACTGTATAGTGTACAAAGCATTGAGTACCTACATTTTACAGTCATCTAATGTTCATCTATTATTGGCTGGTAATTACAGTTTCACCCTGTACTTATGCTTCTTAAAGGAACACCAGATATTTGTAAAAAAAGCTAACTTCAAGGGGTAATGACAACATTGTTTACACTAGAATTATGACTTTTTTATCTATGAAAAATATAGAAATAACTTAAAAAGTACCTTGTGCAATGATGCATTTAGAAATATTGCCCAGGTTTAGTTGTAATACTCATGCCCGTTTTTGCTGTAGGCAAATAAATGATAATAAATTCTGAATCAATAACAAATACTTTAACAAGTGAATATCAGACCATCATTTTAGTCATTCATAAAGAAGGTAGAGAGGAAATACAGGCCTTGATACAACATATAATGAAATGCAATATATAACCTTCATATATATATATATTTTTTTTTTAATAAGAAAGACTTGAGAATTTAGACATAATAAAAACATTACCTGGTATTTTCTTAACTCAGTCTGGAGTGCATGTACTTTTGATCGTTCCTGTTCCAATGATGCTTTTAAGTCTGATATCTGTAATATTGAAGGCAGAATTATTCTTTATAAGCCCTGGTATGAAAAGAAAACGTGAAATCTATAACCTCAAGGTTCAAAATCACCTCATACATACTTTGCTTAAATACTTACAACTGTTAGTAAGTTAAGGATAATATAAAGGATTATTGTAGAACTTCTAACTTTACTTTCCACTCAGACTGTGTCATTCAACTGGTCTGAAGGTTTGATAAACTTAAAATCAAATAGCTTACTACAATCCCAGATTACAACTTGAAATATTTAAATACGGTATGTGTTAAGTTCTGAAATTATAAAATGAATTACTTCAGCTCACTGTGATTTCAATTAAGAGGATATTTCATTTTTGCTATTATGCTAATTACATATACTTTAGACATAAAGTGAAGTTTTCTACAGAAATTTTTTTTCTACAACAGTGATATATTAGCCTTAAATATGTTCTTTTTCTTGTCTATTTCTTTTAAAAACTTAAGAAAATTAAGGCCATTTTCAATATAATAACATGTTTGTTTTACACCTATAAGACATACTTAAAAGTTATTGTTAATGGTTTGAACCTATCTAGAAAGATTTTAGACAACAAACGTTATTCATAAATTTATTGGCCAGATACAGTCCATTAACAATGTTTTTCAAGTATAGTCTCCTGTGCTTAAACCTTCTCTCAAACAAGAAACTCCAAGGCATTATTTTTCTTAAATTCAACAGTCTATTACTGATAAAATTATTGAAAGTGTACACAAGAAAAATAAGAAAAGATCTGTTTAACCGAAACATGCAGTACAACATTATTTAAAATAAAGTTTTTAGATGTTACTGAGCATTGGACTGCATTTACAAGACTTAGTTCATTATCATGAAAGGAGAAAGTGTATTAGAACATTACATTCAACTTAGAAGAATTACTAATCTGACTGATTCTAATGATCTTACTAGTCTGAAATACTCACAATTTCATAAAATCAAAACCAGTGACATGCCATGATTTTTTTAGCATGGCATGCAACAGCTTTTTAGATGACAGTTAAAAACATTTTACTTTTAATTGTGCACTTTATATATATATATATATATATATATATATATATAAAGATTCCTTATTTGAGATTTTAAGGCTAACAATGATTAAATTAATAGTAATATTGCAGTTTATGATGTATTTTCCTTTTACTTATAAGTATTAAATGCTCAAGAATTGAACACCTTTACTTACACCTATATAATTCCTTAAAAGTTTTCCCATTTTTGTATTTAAATATTTTATTTTGTGAAGTAAATAATTTTGTTTGGAAAATGTTAAGAAACTAACTCCCCAGAGTTAACTGTAATTCCTTAAGAGTTTTGTACTGTGTGTAAACAAGACTTGGTTTGTTTGGCATGGCGACATGATGTGGTGTGCGACAAATCAATTACAAGTCAATTCCTGGACATGCACTGCATACATAGACAGCATGCTACTGGCCAAAACTGACATCTTCAGTTGAAATTGTTCCAGGAAAATGATCTAGCAAGTATACACAGTTTAAAATGGTGTCAATAATACAGACAAGGATGTAATGTTTACCTCTTCTGTGAGTTCATCTTTAACTTGTGTTATCCGTTCTACTTGTACTAATATCTCTGCTTTGTCTCTCACTGTGAACAAGAAACAATTTGTAGATATATAAAGATAACACACTTAATTCAAGTGTTCAATTACACACAATAATACACATTTATTTTGTGTATTTAAAACACAATAGTTAATGAATAGCTCATAGTCTAGTTAAACAACATGCACGTATGACAAAAATGACTGTAATAATAACTTATCTTACTCACTAATTAATGTCATCTATTAATCTGATTATTAGACTAAGAAATCCATTAAGCAACGAAGTTGTGAAACACAGAAAATGTACTACCAAGCTTACAATGTACTGTCATTTTAAAGATTACTCCTTAATAAGCCACTATGGTAAAAATACTGGTTGCTTAAATGAAATGCCTGGAATCACCAGCATCATTTTGTGGGACACTTTGCAGTTGCTCTGCATGTAGGCTCACAAAAAAACTCACTTTGGTTATAACTCCTAATATGAGCCATAACATTTTTTTTTATATACATCTGCTTTAATCTTGACTTGGAACATTATCTTTAATGGTATACAAGTGCCAGACCTGCTTATTTCAAGTATTTCCCAAGATATATATTTAAAAGTGTCCCCTATTAATCTAGGTAAGTACCAGAGTAAATGACCAAATCTAAAATATTTTTGTTCTTTTCACTTACTACCTTACTGTCTACAAAGATGTATTATTAACTTGATCCATTAATATAAGGTGCAAATAAATATGGAAACATTAAGTAAACACCCATTCAAGTGCAACTAGCTGTTTAGAGCTCACAAAGGCTAGCTAACTTGGGTCAAAAGGAAACAATTTTAAGGCTTTCTTGCATACAAATTTTCTAATGGTAAAAAGGATCTAAAAGTTTGTGTATAAATGGTAAAACATATCTGTGAAGTTTTTAAGGTAGTCAAAATTTTATTATATATTTGTATTTATACTGAGGATTAATTGTTCTTCATAAAAAATGATGTTCCAAGTCTTGAAATGCCCTTGGAACTATTATTTTCATTACCATTCTTGCTCAGTCTGATGGCTATGATTACACTCTTATTGTTTAACATTGAAATTTTCATTGTAACAAACTTCTGCTAAAAGAATGTGAAGTTAATCTCAGACCACACATCTGAACAAATTTGAATGAGGTTCTTTACTGAAGAGGGATATCAGTACCATGAACATGCTTAAGCAGAACAAAAGTCCATAAGAGCAGTATTCAAATACTTGACAAAAATATGTTCAAATGGGTTTGCTATGATTCCAGTTTTTCCACAATCTTTTTCATGAAAAAAACACTTTGATTTTGAGGTGTGGCTGGAAGCATACGAGACTTCATCAACTTCATATTCTTGTTTTTTACCTTGTTAACAGTACCAGTAGATATGCTCCGATTTTTGAGGTCAGGGGGTATTCTTTCATAACCAAAGCTTTCACTTTGCAGATGTGAGCATTGCTGTGAATTAAGTTATAATGTAGTTTAGGAACTTTGCTGACCTATACACTCCGTTGTGTAAAGTTTTGGTTTTCATAGAAAAGTCTCTCTTCTTTGAAATGCACCCTTTGGATCTACTTCATTTAAAAATCTCACAAAAATCCTTCCTTAGAAAGGGCTGTGACAGAAACTTCCTGTCATAACTCTGTATGAGGCAGTATTGCACTGTTGAATAGGTTGGGAATTCACCATGAACCAAATATAATATTCATTTCACTTTGCTCATAACCTAACAGTGACTACAATAGAATCTGAAGTCTCAACAATCTGCAATAACAGTACTTAAGGTTTCAGTTAATTATACACGACACTACAATCTATCAATCTTGTTTGCCAATTACTTGTAAAACACCTTTGGTTTTTAAGAGCCATTAATGACTAAAATACTGAACACTCTGTATACATGCTCAATCATTTTGACCTACTATGTATCACCAAGACACTATATGTACAATAACTCTGAATGTACTTGGTGTACCTTTATGAAGTTTAGCAAGGCTTTAGTAATGATAATTTTTTATTAAAGACTTGTCTGTGAATTTATGAAGCCTTTACCGAGTCAATCTGAGTGAAAGGTGATTTTTATACAAAGAATAAAATACTCCTTTTCATTTTACATTTTTCTTACTTCATTTGCTTTACCTCTAGAAGCTCATAAATTAATTTCAAGTTTTCTTCAGTAAAACTTTATACTTTATCTCTTATTTTCTCTATCCTAAAACTAACCATACCAAAATCATAAAATGAATTGATAAAAATATAAAATCAATAATACCTACCTTTTTTCTAGAATAAATGCAGGTTATAGCAAACAGTTCCAATTATTTACCAAAAGAGCTTCAGCTATGTAACCTTTTCACATTTGCTTTCTTTAAATTTTTTTACTTTACAATACCTCTTAAGTAGATGACAGACAATTAATCAGAGCAAGAGAAGTTTGTATAAACAACTGATGAAGTTATAATCATTACACAGTTGGCTAGAGCTTATCTCGTGAAATTTTTCATTTAACTTTTGTTATTTAACCTAACGTTTCTAATGTTTACAAAAAAGCACATGAAAAACAAGAAATTCTGGACTTGCATTAGAGCTGAAGCCTATTTCAGTAATTTGTACTGAAGAGCATGCTTCCTTATTACTGGTTATTTCATACTATATTGGTTGTCCACAAAATCATTACTGATCCTTTTAAATATACATTTTAGTACACAAAAAATATATCAGGCACTAGAATAAAATGTAGAATAAAACTATTATAATTAACTGGCTTTCTAAGCTATACATAGGTTAGAAACATTCTATTAACTATTCAGAGCAAAAAAACATGATGACAAACAATGAAATTAAAGCTATGTCTCCTTACAGGCAACAAAATGAAACAACCATATAAGGAAACTTATAAAAAATAAGCTGCACTTTCTGTTGGTTATAATTAATCCAATAGAAATGTAAGAGAATTACCAACATATCTTGAAAAAACAGAATAACACGGAACAGATATGTCAATTTAGTCTTCACGTTTTTTATACCTTAGTAAAGTGGACTTGTCAATATCTATAGTATGTGTTTCTAAGTAACTGGACACTCAGAAAATCATATAAGGGTAGAAAAAAAGCTAAAATGGGCAATTTAGACTTGACACAGAAAAGTGAAGACTGATGACAGTTAATTTCAACAGGAAATATTTAAATAAATTTAGATAAATTTAAAATATGAATTATAAACTAAATTTTGATACCAAGCTTATTGACATACATTTATAACAAAGTTGTTTATTTATATTTTAAATGTAATTCTGAAAAAAAAAAAGAATGGTGGAATGCACACTTTGACTCTCCCATACTTACTTTCACCTTGAGCTAATATATGACAAAGTTTTTTGCATCTATGTTTCACTGTCTTCAGTTCTTCCTGTAACAAATAAATATAGTTACTAGTGGAAATACTGTAAAACCGATAAAACTTCTTGGTAATACTGTAAAAGTAAACTTACCAATGAAATTGTTAAAATAAGAAAATTCATTTAATAGTTTTATATTTTCTATGTTAACACTGAAAAGGATTACAGAACTATAAAACCTACTTTATTTCATTATAACAAAAAATTATAGGAGAGAATAATCAATTAATTATGGCACAACATATCACTTTAGTTCACCTTTGTCTTTTTCAATTCCTCTCCGAGCTCATTGATTTTTTTATCTTTTCTTTCAATTTCTTCTTGATGCTGAAGACTACGTGCATGCTCTGCTTGAAAATACTGCACAAGAAAAAAAAACTTTGCTTGGAGATGTTGTTTACGATTTCATTCAGAGACTACTACTACTACTGCTATACACATGAACAAATCAACTGATTAATTATTCATCCCTTCTAATGATAATATATATATTCTTTTCTTTTCTAATACTCCTTTGTAGAGTTCCATGAATTTATAAACATTACTCATGCAATAGAAGAGTTTCTCTACTAAACCATTCTTTGGTAGAACACCTAACAATTGTACAAAATAATGACCCATCCTTTCACATCGTAATTATGTTCATATCTGTTGAATCAAAAATTATTCATAATAAACCTTTTCAAAGCGTTTTTACCTCTGGACTCTTATAAGAACTTTGTCTGTGTTCTTTTGTAATAATTTTTTCTGCATCTTCTTCAATCTTTTCAAAGAAGTTAGTTTCCTCAGGTATAGGTGCTTGTTGATTATGAGTTGGACTTGATGAAATATCTCCACCTGTTTCAAAGAAAATCCAAGTTCCTATTTTTCTCTTATATTTTTCCTAAGATTATATTCTGTAAGAGCTTTAGCTGATTTTAAGACTCCTCTTTACTCTTACCCCAAAAAATATAACAATTAATTAAAAAACTCTCATCAGGTTCATAAAAAGTAGATTGAGTATATGTTATATCTTTATACTAAGAAAAAAAGTAAATGATCCAAAACCTCACATGCATAAATCTGATATTAAAATAAGCTGCAACAACTTACAAAATCTTTAAACTGGAATGTTCTAGGTATAAAGTGGCTTGAATTGTTTAATTGAAAAAAAAGTGGGTTAAAGGTCTCAAAATCGTTTTTGTATGAAAACTTTTAGAAGGTTGCTACAAGCAATAAGGAACAACAGTTGTGGTACATTTCACCATTACAACAAATAGTGCAACATTTCATCAGTCACGGTGTGGTCTGGTTATTATTCCTGTCTGCTCACTTTTCACTTTGCTCATTCAAAAATATGCAACTGATCTCCTTTTTAAATGCCTTGTAATCATAGAGGTAAAGTCTTGTTGTTGATGAAATTTTGTGCACAGCTACTAGAAGTTATCTACTCTAGTTGTCCCTAATTTTGAAGTGAGAGACTAGGTGCAAGGAAGCTGGTAAACAACACCCACTGCTAACTCTTGGGCTACTCTTTTACTAATGAATAGCAGAATTAACCATCATATTATAATGCCCCCACAACTGAAAGGGTGAGCATGCTTGGTGAAAAGTTTTGATCTTGTTACCTGCAGATTGAGAGTCGAGCTCTCAAACTACAAGGACATGTCAGGCCACTAAAGTCTTATCAACAGTTTTCAAAAACAAAAAGTATAGATAATTACACAAAACTATATATATTTGACAAGAATGTTTTATCTTGCAAACACTGAAGCATAAATTTTTAACTACGAGTTATGACTGTCACAAATCAAAATAACAGTGTCCAATTATTTTTCTTTTAATGAGTTAGAATTTGTTTCTTTACTATATAACCAAAGAAACTGTAAGGAACTGTAATTTATTTCACACAGAAATATGTATACTTGAATCTCAACAAAAGACACAAAACTTCCTCACAAAAATCTTGCTCACCTCCTTCCAACTGTTTAGGTAACATATTCTGAAACTGATCAAGGGTCATGGTAGATGTTTTATCTTTCTTTTGGCTGTTTTTCTTCTTTTTTTTTAATTCATGGCTACCATTTTTTTCTACTTCTGCATGCTTTTGGATGGCACTGTAGAACTAGACACAAGAATATTTTTTATCTATTTTTAAATAATGTCAAAAATAGAGGTTAAATTATATTAAATTATAATTAATCCCCACCAACAAAATTTCAATTGATCAGATGTTTGTTTTCATATAAAAACGTAAAGATGAAAACAAACATAAAATATTATTGAAGCTGGATTCAAAGTGTTATTACATAAGAAACTAGTTTTAAAAATTAAACATATTTAAGAAAATGTCCTTAGATCAATTTAAAAAGTCACAACAAATGACTTAGCCAGCTTTCACTTCCCCACACTGCTCAATTTGTTACATTATGAAAAACAAAACTTTATATTTCACAATACAATTTTCATTGCTTTCATGGAGTGGGATATTACAATAAATTTGTTTTAACTGACTGTTTTCAGATAAAATATGTGAGCTTACTAAGATTCACATGGGCTTTGCAAGGGTAATGTGCATCTAAAAAACAGATACTGAAAGCACACAAATAGTAGCTATATCACTGAAAAATACTTTATATTTAAATTTTATCAATAAACAAGATTTCTTTGCAATCTGGATTTTCTTTGACCCTTTTGGTAAAAGTGAATGGTACTTAGCAGCCTACTAGCACCACCAAACCTTACCAGAAACAAGTTTCAGAAACCTATTAAAGTTCTTCCTATCTCAAGTACTAGCTGAAACCTATTAAAGTTCTTCCTGTCTTAATTACTAGCTGAAACCTATTAACTCTTTCAGCACGGGCTTGCGCCTTGCGACCAACCTCGTGACCTTTAGTGCTTGTTATATTTTTCAAGCTATAACATTTAAATTAGTAAGCGTATGTTCACAACAATTGGCAGATTATCAGTAAATATTCCAAGGCTTTCAAACGCAAAATATCAGATTTTTTAATTAAGTCTTAAGGTTTGTTAAGCAATGTTTTTCTCATGTCTTTTTCTTTTCACACGCAGAATAATTTTCATTTTAAGATTAAAAATACTTTTATGCATCAAAAAATTTTCAAATTTCACATGTGAAATCTTTATAATGTCCAGATAGTTATCAAATGTTTCTCGAGAAAAAACTTTATATTTTATATGTTATTTTCACTAACAAATCTCTGTAAGGGTTCGGTTGATTGGACTGATCTTGTAACCACCATAAAAAATTAGGAAAGAAATATAAATTATGCCTTTTTTGTTCTAGAATGACTACAAATTATAATACAAAAACACCAATGTTTAGAATAAATAGCCGAAATCTCATAACATTTTACATTTATATATATTTATTATTTTTATTGTATTGACCTTTCAGCCATGCCTGGCTAAAAATACAGAAGTTACAATTATGTGGCACACGTGCACTTATGTTACCATATCCAATAATATAAAACTGACTTTTAGTCTTTACAAAGTGAACTGTCTTAGCTGTGTTTTAGTGGACTAATATTTTGTACAATACAGTAACATTTCAATTATTTACATTATTACTATTTACAAATAAGTTCTTAAACTTATTTTTATTAAAACATAGAACAGTTAATATAGAAGTAAAGCAAACAATTATCTCTTCTAGTTACAACCTTTGAACTTGTTTGCTGCATGTCGTAGGTTGCTAAGCCTTATAAGATTTTGCCCATGGAGGATGTGAAATAATTTTTTTTAGGTTTTATATATACATTTAAAATAACCAAAAATTATAAACTACTATATCAATAACAGAGAATTCCACTATAATTTATAAAGCTCAGTAACTAAGCTGTATTTGGGTCTAAGAAAATATATGCAATTTCGAGCAGACTAAAGACTCAACTTACCACCTTGAAGATTTGTATCAAAAGAACAAGATGATGTCATAATACTTGAAAATGGCTGAGAAAGCCACTAGGGGGACATTCAGAGCTTTTGATTGGTTATTCACATGTCATAGACAGAAGTAAGTATATATTGGAAAGAGGTTAGCGGGGCCACTATGTTTGATTCAGTACATCAGCAATATCTCAGCAAATAGAAAAGATAGGAGGTTCTTATTTTATATTATAGCTTTTCAATATTAGTAATTGGAGTTCCTAATTCATATGAAACTAAAGACTTTATATTTTGACATCAGAAACATCTAATTTGAATCATGTGACACACAAAAATCAATGTTTAGGTGTGTTTTTTAATATTTACTTTTAAATTAAGAAATTAAATAATGTATAATACTAAAATTTCAATTATAATCTACAGTTTGATAGAAACTTATTGATATAAATTCATAAAATAGTAGTTTAATAAGATTTTGAATATGAGTCAACAAATGCAATGACATGGCCTTTGACCCACGAGGAAAGGGTTAAAGTTCTTTCTGCCACACTTACTAGCTTATGGACTTCATTATAAGCCATAGAATACACATCATCATGTAAATGTTTCAGATTGAAAAGTTGAGGAAAATATTTTTTTTATTATCATAAATCAGCAACATCTCAAGAGTAAATGGTCAAATAATTTCACTTATTTTGTAGATTCTGTGTCATCACACTGTGGCCTACTGATTAAGACAACGCTTTCATATAACTTTATTTGGTTTTTGGTAAGAGCATTATTAGTGCTTCAGCATGTATTGCAAAAGGAGAATAATGTTTCATTTGACACATAAGCCTAAAAATCTATTTAATGTAACTTGTGTGCATATTTTTTATATATTGTTCTAACGAATTAAAAAGCACTCATCAAGAGCCCTGGTCAATGTCATTTTGTTTTTGTGTGTGTGCGTATATCTATGGCATATTACATAGTATTGGGAAACAACAAAAACTTTTAAATTTGTTTCTAAATTTTATTTTTGTATAAAGCAACAACTACTGTCTAGAACAATTTAAGTAAAGATAGTTTACTGAAAATTGGCACAGTTAAATGCTATCTAATTTCGGGATACAAAAATGTGCTTGTAAAAGAAATTCCACACTTTGTTAAGAATCACAGATTATAAAATAATCAGAGTCAGATTAAAATGCTTTTTCAGTGCAGACTCTTTAATCAAAATGTTTATTAGTAAATATTACTCAACCACAAAAATATATATGTATTTAAAGCATTAAGCAGTCATAAATTCAAATGCAAGTTGTTTTTAAAAAGAAGAAAAAAGAAACAAAGCTAAGGTTCCCAATTTTTTTTGTATAAATCTTAGTTTTGTGTTTGAAAACCCTTTACACATTGTTTCATGTTATGATATTTTTTGTTTTTATGCATCTTCAACAAATATATATTAAAATTCAATGTCACCTTACACATTAAGCATGCATCTGGCAAACAAATGCTATTCATATGTTCTTATTATATAGGTTGTAATTCTGTACAACTAAACTCTTTAGGGGACAAAAAAGCTCCAAATTTAAGTACCACTCCCAATAACAGATATTTTTTCTATAAATACACACAAGTTATAATGAAGAATTATTTTTCAATGTGTGTGCATTACCTTTTTTTTCTCTTCAAATTCTAGTTTACTTTGAAGCAGAGCTTCTTGCAAGTCTTGCTCATACACATCACACACAAACTGAAAATAAATAAATAAATAAATATTTATTTGAAAATCTTAAATGACATCATTAGTAACACTTTTTATAATAATTAACTACTACATCTGTGGAAATGTCATATTTATTTTTCAGGGGAACAGGACTGAACCTGAGATCTCTAGCACACTAGGCAAGTGCTCTACCAATTCAGTTAAAGGGGTAACCCACTAGGGCTTACTAGTAAGGCACTTTTTAACAACTCAAACTACTAAATTCTTCCATCTTTGGGCCTTATATTAGTTACTTCTAATCTTTCCATCTGCCATGACATTTACACAGGATGGATTTAAGTAATTCACTGATTTATGTCCAAACTATTTTCATACTGTGAAGGTCAAAAACCTTTGTGTTTAAATGTTTCCTTTTTCTTCTATATTTTTTTGTTTATGTGTTAGAAAAATTCTTTCTGATAGACTGGTGAATTTTTTTATATTCATAAGGGTATTAAATCTGCACTACAAATTCAATGAACATGACATCACTGACACGTCCAGTATACGACAAAGCTAGAGTTCAATCCCCTTCCCTGATACTAGAAAATGTTGCCTCTGAGACTGCTTTCTGTTATCTCCTCACTTAAAGTGGGCCCTTTGATCCACAGCCACATTAGGTTATGTCTCTGCTTCCTGCACATCCTGGACCTCAAATTACATCAAACCATTGTGTTCAAGTATAATGAATCCTTTAACTTCACAATATAGCTCTAATCACAAAAATCTTACTTTTAATTGGGCATCTGTCTTGGTAGTATTAGAAAAAATGTTCCAGAACAATCATACTTACTTTTAATGCAAGTATAACAAAACAGTAGTCCTGACCTAATTCTGCTAAGGGCAACTTTTCAATAAATATAAACAATTTAGTGCTTAATGAATTTTTGAGAAAAAACTTGTATTTGTTTTCCTCTAAGGACAATGCCATACAATCAAAAGAAAATAATCCCAAGTATTGTCCAAATGCTGTAAAACTGTGTTGAAATAAATATATTAGCAGTAGTATAAAGCCATTTCCTTTAAATAAAAGTACTAATTATTTCAGTCATACATAATTTGCATTCATGATATTGCATCAAGTAAGTTCTAATTTCTGTTCAAGTTTTAAGCCTAAACAATGATTTATTTACTTTATAATTACAATTTGTTACCTATGTAATAAAAAACATGTACAGTTATCAATATACTTAATGACTTTCCTATATTAGTATCATATGTAGTAAACAGATGATAAAATGCCTCGTTCATCGAAATACAGCATACTTACATTGCAACTGTATAATAGATTTTATTAGTTTTAGTTTATGTTAGCACAAAGCTACACAATGGGTTACTATTGTTTTGTCCACTATGGGGAATCAAACTCCAGATTTTATAGTTGTGTTTCAACTTATCATTGACCCACTCGGGGACATTAGTCTTTTATAAAAAAAATAAACAGTTCCCTACCAAGTAAATATGAAACATATTTTGACAAACAATAGGATAAATTTATAAATTAAATAAGGGTTTGTAAGAATCCAATTGCTAACTTTTCAATATATTCCTTTGTTTAAGGGACCCACTTAAACACTACGATGATTTAATATTCATTTTTGTGTTTCATAAATTGTTTCAGTGTTTGAAGTATTAAATACTGATAATGTTCAAGACCTATAATACAAGACATGAAAGAGTACTAGAAAAAATACAATGCTATTTTCTATTAATGAACTGTAATTTTTTGTTAAAAAACAACAAAAACATGTATTAGTATTGTTTTTATGTAACATAGTGAATACTGATGAAGAACTTGTTTTGTTAGTAAAAAAACAACTTGAGCTCAATAAAATCTTTGTTTTTCAGTGTTTTGGTTTATACCTTTCTTTGCATAAGGCATTTTCCAAAATTGGTAAAATAAACAGTCTTTCTGGTGCACCAAGTAATTTTTACTTGTAGAATAAAAACACATCTCATTTTCATGTTTTCTACAAAATAAATAACTACTACTTACACAGGCCAATAATAGAAAGTATTACAAATTAGTTTGATAATCCTAAGAAGTTATGAAAATACATCTTATAGTCAGTGTTGTGTGTATTTTACCTAATGTAATATACCATGAAAAAATTGACTCTGTGCAAATACAAAACGTATACCATTACAGTTGAACTACAATATTGCTCTCCAATCAAAGAACTGCTATTCATACAACATTAGATGTTAAGCACATTAGTCAGCTCTTACTTCATCGTCTTTTTTCTTCCATTCTTCCCATTGAGTATCATGCCCATCAGAACTGTGAGAGGAGTTGCGATTCCCACCCGAAGTCTGACCCAATCCTTTTCCTTTGTGTTTAATATTTGGACAAAATGCAAGGTTCTGAAGCTAAAATGAAATCAAAATCCCAAGATCATATCAAAGTACACTATAACCACTGGAAAAATGCAATCCTTTATTAAAAGTATCAATAATTATAAAAAGTAATCAATTAACTTAAATACAAAAGATATTCTTAAGCACTAGCTTTATGGGATTCCAAAACAAGCAGAAATTTGAAAAACGTTTAAGAAATTGCATTTATTGAAAGAGTGAATTGAACATATACAAATCACATATAGTGTAAACATACACAGATATTTACAAAAAAAGTGAAGAGGAAAAACAAACAATACAATTTTTGGTAAGGATTTGGAGAGTTCACTTTCTCCATATTTAATGTTAACTAATTTAATGCTTAACTGGATAATCCTTACATGCCAAAAATAAGATTTTAATAGCATCAGGTGATTTCATCTTGTGGTTAACATTTTTACCAAAAAGCCTCCATAGTTAGATGAGAAATACAAAATAAAGAGATTCATGAGAAATAATAGTTTTTTTAAAACTCTTACCCTTAATGCATCCAAGATTCAACAACAATTAAAATACAACTAAAAAAAAAAAAAAGAGTAAAAGTATTTCTTACGACTGAGCTTACAAAATTACACTTGATTTTACATTTCTACACTTTTTTTTAAGAAGACAGCTCTCTCTATGTGACTAAGTTACTTAAAATCTCACCTCATTTTTTTCAACATTATTATTTTTCTTCTTCTTTTTCTTCTTATTTTCATTAGTAGCTATCTTAGCACTATCTTTGGATTTGGTGCCTGAAGACGTTTTGGAAGCCTTTTGAAAACTGGATGTATTTTCTATTAGTTCATCATCTTCAAGCTTCAGCACAGCAAATCGAGATGCAGTAGCTACAGCCATGTTATGCAGCAAAACAGTATGATCTGCTAAATACAATCATGACAACTCCTTACATAGCTCAATATTACAAATAAAAGTACCTACTTCTGTTGAACTGGCTTGATTAGAAGATACAGATTCTTAATTAGGAAACCCGTATGTCAAATTACATTTTCCTACCTCATACATTACTCAAAAGAATATCAGCACTCATTCTTAAGCCTCTTTTTTTTTTTCAAATGTATAAACTTATTTCAAGCTCAGGGTATCCTTAGTAACCTAGACATTCTGTGACTGCAAGCTATTCAGATGACAGAAGAGTTTGTTTCTCTTTATTATTATTTCTTCATGTCTCTTTTGTATTATGTATTTGAATTATCTATGTGGACCCCAAACTATCACTGACCATCACTATACATGCAGTTTGCCCTATAACATACAAAACACATTTCTAAATGTTTATTTCACTATACAGGCTGTTATAGAGGATAACCCATCAAAGTAGTACAGTATCATCTGTCCGTTTGTTTATAACATCACTGTGCTAAACATGTATGCACATCTCTTTCCTCAACAAGTGAAACCTTGTTTGATAATTGTTGTAAATAACCTGCTTATTGGATTTCAAATCGATAGCCTACTATAAGGATACACTTGTGTCGGATCCTAGGTGACCCACAATGTACACTTTCCGTTTTCTTTGAGTTGAATTTTGCAGTATTATGGTAATCTCATCATATATTGGTGGATAATGACTTGAATATAGGAGTATAATAAATCTTTGGCATTTTTTTTATATATTTATATAAAGAATGGTTTAATACTATTTATCTGTATACTGGGAACAATGTAATTTTGTAATTTCTTGATTTGTCAACATATTTCCTCTAGAATATATATATTTTTATGTTGTTCACATTGCATGCTAACCCTGGTAAAAGTTGTAATGCAACTGGTTTTTGAAATTTCAATCCAGAGTTTACTATAATGGTAATTTTGTACTAGAGTTCAGTTGGACCCTAGGTGTTCCATGATGCAACAATTCAAAGGTGTGCTGATGAGGGGTTAAGCATAAAGCTACACAATGTGATAATTGTGCTGTGCCCACCACAGACATCAAAATCTGATTTTTAGTGTTATAAGTAGAGATGAGCAATTAGTGGTATTTGCTAATCAATGAAATGATGGCCCCATTAATCAATTACATTAAATTAATTGATTAGTACAGTGTTTCTCAAATCATGTTATGCACAAGAAAAAAATAAATAAATAAATAAAGGTAGTGAAGGGTGCTGCCAGCCAGTTGCCTTCCATTTAGCCAGTAGTAGAAAAATTAACAAAAATGTTGGCAGAAGGTACTGCTAACCAGTTGCCTTTTCTCTAGTCAGCAGTTCAAAAAAGAAAAAAAAAGTTGTCAGCATGCTGTCAAACAGTTGTTTCCTTCTCTCTAGTCACCATTTCAAAATCAGTGAAATTGGCAGATGGTCTTAATAGTTTAGCAATAAAAAGAAAGGTTGAGCAAGTTTGGTGGTGAAGGGAATCAAACCCAAGACAATTGAACCACAACCTTCCCATCCAAATCACCAAAGATTAACAAACTTTAAGTAAAAAAACAATTATAAGTTTAAAATTGGGCAGAGCACGGATGATCCATTATGTAGTTTTATGCTTAGGAACAAAACATATAATAATAATAATATTTCTATTACTTGGATAGTTGGAATAATCAAAAACAATAACAGTAAGAAACACCAATTTTGATTAGTTGGTTATTTTTTGTAACAATCAATTCAACAGTAATTTTGATTAATCAATTGTTGGAATAATTGGAAACTAATAATCAGAAACACTAATTATGATTAATCAATTTATTTATAATTTCACTTAATACAATTATCTACATAATCGCTCTTCACAGATAATCAATTAAGTCATCTAGCTTTGTGATGATAAAAGTCTAGAAAAGACTGATTAAATCTCTTTAAAATGTTTTCAATGTCACTTAACAAACTTCACATGGTGAAAATCTTGACTCAAACTTTTCAACATTTTTTAAAGATCTAACTGCTTATTCATATGAGGGTAAATGTGTTGATTTAGTACACTGAGATTTTCATTAGGATTTTGACAAATGCCCACATAAAAGTTTAGTAAAAAAACTATCTCTGTGGGTGTGGTGAATAAGTTAGCTCAATATTGATAAGGGAATTGTCAACAAATTGGTCAAGTATGCTGATGACACTAAAGCATTGTGTCTTGTTGGTTATGAAGAAGATGCCGGTGTTTTATTTAGAAAGGGATTTGGATCATTTGTCAAATTGGGCAAAGTTATGGCAGACGGACTTTAATTATGTCAAATGTAAGGTAATGCATATGAGCTACTTTAACTTAAACTATAAATACTACATTTATGGAAATCAACTCAATAGTAAATTTTAAAAATACCCAGAAACTCATGCACTTTTAAATAGTTGACTGGTTTTTTTTCAAAAGTGCCCGAGTTTCTGGATCTTTTGAAATCTACTTAATATTTCTGGTAAAAAATTCTGTCATCATGGCTGATGAACTTAATAATATTATAGAAGAAAGGAATCTTATTGGTTTGGTTGACAGTCTCTTATGCCTTCTAGGCCACTATCAGTTTCATTGCTAGTGGGAAAGCAAATAAGATTTTTGGTTGCATTTACAGGAATACTGAAGTCAATAGAGGTTGCCATTTCTTGGTAAGCCTCATTTATAGTACTGTGTTTAGCCTTGGGCTTCTTACTTTAAGAAGAACATTGAGTTGTTGGAATGGGTTTAAAGAAGGGCGAGTAAGATGATTTCTGAGACAGAGGTGGCTGTCATATGAAAAAAGGTTAAAATCCTAAAATTTATTTTCTCAAGAATGGATTTGATTGAAAAGTTTAAAATTATAAAGGGGATACGTGGGATTCATGCATCATCTTTATTATATTTAATGATATGAGTAGTACAAGTAGAATACATAAATTTAAAATCTGGCAGGGTAGAGATTTTTTGTAAATTAGGTAATTTTATTTTTTGAACAGGGTGGTTACCTTTGAAATATGTATGCTAACTGCCTTTAGAACTGGGTGATTAAATTGATTAATGAATATAACATATTGCTTATGAATGTTGATTAATGTAATGTAAAATAATCAACAAATTTAAATTATGATTAATTAAAATATTCAACCAATCACAAGTAGAATTTCCAATTATCACTGTTTTTGGTTCTTCCAATTATTCATGTAATCAAAATATTGCCATTAAGCTTTTAAACAAAAAGAGTACACAATGGATTCTCTGTGGTCTACCCACTGCTGGTATCAAAAACTCAATTTCTAGCATGCAAGATTTTTTAAAGCCATCTCATGTAAAAATATTCAATTAATTGTATGTAAGTGATTAATGAGCTCAACAAATAATCAATTAACAAATTATACTAATCACCCAGTTCTAAAACTTGCCTTCAAGATGAGTTTGATGAGTACTTTGAGAGTCAGGGCTGGATATAGGGCTGAAATGAATGGGACAGCCACAATAGTCAAAGAAGCCCCTTACTGTCCTTCAAATGTTATGTTAAATGTGTGATCGAAGTTACAATAGCCCAAACTCATTACCTTGTACTTAATATAAATTTTGACTGGACTCCATTAATAACAACTTGTGCTTCCTCCCATCCAGCCATCCTGCAAAACAATTAACTAATCTTTACTCAATGCCTACTGATGTGATTTTCTTAGCTAATCTTTCATGTAGTACCTTACCCAAAGTTTTTTGGAAATCTAAACACCCAAAATCCGCACACTTTCCATCATCCATATAAGCAGTATTCCACATCTTGAACAGTTGATAGATGGAAACAAGATTGAACAAGATGATTGCATTAATTCTGAGCTTTTTAAGAAAAATTGGGAAGTTTAAAGAATTTTCCATCATCCATATAAGCAGTATTCCACATCTTAAACAGTTGATAGATGGAAATAAGATTGAACAGGATGACTGCATTAATCCTGAGCTTGTTAAGAAAAAATTGGGAAGTTTAAAAAATAATAAGGCTCCTGGAACAGATAATATTTCCCCAATCATTTTGAAGGAGGTTAAAGATTGGATATGTTAGCCACTTGCTACTATTTTTTGTAAGTCTTTGAATAGTGGGCAGGTACCAGAGGATTGGAAGTTAGCTAATGTAACTCTCTCACACACACACTCACATATATATATATATATATATATACTATTACTACTACACACACTATTACTCTCTCTCTCTCTCTCTCTCTCTCTCTATATATATATATATATATATATATATAACGTAAGTAGTAGTACTACTA